TACAAGCCTGAAATCACCGTGACTTCTTCCTTAATGACAGATTGTCTTCATCTTTTATCTGCCCAAGACGGTCTCCTCTGCTCCGGGGAAACGTGCCGCCACAAGAGATAATGTCCCTCATAGTTGGGCCAACATTACGAAAACACTTCTTACAGATGCACAAGCACTTTACGTGTTGAATCGGGAGAAAACGCTCCATTCCGGAAACGATAAAAGAAATTATATTCATATATTTAGAATGCGGGTGATAATCAACATCGATATGTTTGTGTTGGTGACGATTTATCTTGTTTAATGTGTAAATTGGGTGTGTTGTGTGGATCACACGGTGACTCTGTTCAGAATCACAATACACTTATAACACTGCAGTCAGACCACTGTTAGATTGTGCAGAAACAGGAATCATACGGCGGTGAACTTTGCCCTGATTCCTGCATGTTCAAAAGTCACGATCAAGCAATTGAAACAGACACCTTACCCCTATAATTACGAAAAATCACTTTATTTCGAGCACAGACAACGTCATCTCGCGAGATTTCCCCACATCTGCACTCGACACGGAAATTGTTACTATCATCACAAGAGCAACCTTTGTCAATACGACATAGGGCTGAGCTCAACAACGGCTATATAATTTCAGGACGAATGTCATTCAAATGTCCAGGCTTAACAGGGATAATTGTGGGATAATCGGACGAGGTAGGGGAGCATTTTAGCAGCCCTTAATTACCCCATCGCAAGTTTTGTCTCCGACTCTTGGGAACGGGGACCCTTAAACCCCGCTATATTTATCTTACTCGACAAGGGCTAGGATCCAGATATAATTACAATCTGAATTGGACGAGTATTTATGATCGGTGTGATTATTTAGAAGAGATAGGAGCTTAATCATCTAAGGAGCACGTGCAACCACTTGGTGGGATCTGTAATTATATCTGGACTGGTTTTATTGTGTCCATACTTGTGCGCACTGACCCTACAGAATGTCTCTGTCATGTATCAACTCTTTTTTTTTAACAATAAAATTAATGTTTACCATACTCGTTGTTGCACTAACCTAAATATATCTTTATTTAAATAACGATTTCTGTTGATCAGTGTATTAGCAATATTATACATCGCATATTCTAATGTTGCTGGAAAATCACAATTCCACAATATTAGGACTCCGCGAAACAGAATTAATCTAAATTAATGTACAAAGTATTTGAGTTTCAGTATTGGAGCAGCTATGTTTTCAGAAGTGCACATTATTAAGGAATTCAAATTTTCGAGTATTGCCCGTAAAAGAGAACTAAAAAGGTCCACCCACTTTAACTGTTTACATGAGAAAGTATTTATCAACAAAAAACTTAAGCCGTGTAAATTTGTTTTATCATCAAAATCACTTCAGACTGAACAAATCCAGATTTCATTTCAACACACACAATACTTGATTTTTTAGCCATGCTGAATTTAATTTGGAGTTGACAATGGACTGGATGGAGGAGATTGTAAATGACCCGGGAATGAAAAAGTCGCTGTTGTCAGTTGCCAACTTCAACGTTCTGTTTCATTCTTGTGTAAAGTACAGCGGCTTGTAGTGGTGATTGACAGATGCAAAGCCCTTGATGCCTTCATAATGAAATAAATGGGGTCGTATAATAGATATTCAAGTCCCGTGCGAGCAGGGGGGGTATCTGTCTGCGAGTGGAAATATAACACTCCAAGTGCCGTCTTCGCATTTCACAGTATCTCTTGCAACACAATACAAGTTTCACGCCTGTACAAAGAGGGCATTTGTGTGATCTTTCCACGGACAAAGCGGGCATGATTAATCCCCGTTATACGGTGTAGAGTTTCATTGTTGTCCAAGATTTAACAAACATCTGCGCGTGCGGCAGCATTCAAGGCCCCATGTGCCATAATTAATATGGCGGAACGCCGAATGATTCACAAATCATGTGATCGACCATTAGAACTCAGCGGTAAATAAACTTCCGGAAGGTATTTGGTTGATGTCAAGAACTATGACTTCGGATGCTGTTTTGCTAATATTATATTATCAATAACTAACAGAATTAATCACGACCCACCTGCATGTCGGTTTGACATATTAACTTGGAAATTGAAATTGCATGAGGATATGCCCCGTCATGACAACTCGGGCGGTGACACGCAACTGGCGACGTTTTGCAATAAGTAAACTAGTTAATGGCCCATGTGCAGGTGAGCATGAGATGACGGGAACCAGTATTATCACTCAGTCTTGTTTGAAGAAGACTTCGAAAACTCTTTTATTTGGAATCACCACGCACGGACATACACGTGCAATTTAACGGTCAGAAATTTGACTTGTCAGTTCAGGGACCATGTCCATTTCTGTAATTAACAATGTTTGTAAAAGATCCGCTATGAAATAACACATTAACTCTGCAATTCAATCAGGAAATATTTGTCCATTATGAGTTGTAACTGCACTCTGGTGCACGGATCACTGGCCAGGACACACAGGTCGGCGGCGATAGTCCCTGTCATCCATCGTCCCATGTGTGCCGGCACTTGTCCACTCAGGCATCCGACGCAGCTTCATCTCGGTCGTCATCTTGCAAACTCTTAGTGATCACTTGTCTAATGCTATGCTTTTCAAACCTGGTCGCGTTATACGAATGTCTCCTATAATTTACCACTTCTGAAGCGCAGTTGGAGGCAGCGACATCTCTTGTGTTGTCCTGGAGCCACACTTCTGATAGTTCATGTGATCATCACAATTACTTGACAATTTATATTAAAATCTGAAAACATAAACTAAAGACTGCTTAAGATTAAACGAATGTACATTTGTCTTCTTTTTAAGATACTTGTAGGGTACCTGTCTTATTTATATTATCAATTTACCACTCTCACGTTTACAATAAAACAGACAACTGAAATAAAGTTTACTGTCACGGCATGAACCAGGACTTGGGAGAGATATTCACTTTCATACAGTTTCCACTGTGTAGTGCATATATCTTCACATACAATTATGCTTGTACAAGTACATATTATGAACACAATGACTCTCCACACACAAATGTACAGTTAACCAGGGTAACGGTGGTATGTCATTCAATCACGCACATGAGTAAACACGCGTGGCGTCTTTTCCTTTGAACTTTGCCGACCCGACGTTTCCCCAAGTCCTAAGGGAAAGTCCGTGTTTGGCATATTTCTCCTGAAGTTACTTCGGATATGAACTGAGCCGACATAAGGGACATGATGCACGCGCATGACCGAAGACAAAAGCTCGCTCAAATCTAGAGGTTGCACGCGACAGATGCACGCGCCACCAAATATCGCCGCCAGTTGTTCTCCAGATGCGGGTTTGAGGGGAGAGGGATCTACCATTGTATTGCGACTACCCCTGAAACGCTGGGGTGACCTTTCGCGCCCATAACCAGGGTATCTCCAAAGCTACCCATAATGATCTGGCTTGTTCAATGGGTGAATTACAAAGAGAAATATTAGTCGGTTTGCAGCTCATAAACAAGCCATCAATAAGATGCGATCTTAAACATAATAACGAAGGAGACAGAAGCCCGCCTTGTACCACCAGGGTGAGTTGGTTGATCGGGGTCGCTGACCGCTGCAAACAATCCGTGATCGTGTTTCAATCTGGCTGCTTATCCAACCGTTTCTATTCTACAGTCTAACAGTTGTGGTGCCATTATTAGAAAAGTCAAGAAGCATTCTGCATTACAAGCTGAGCATGTGGTATTTCCACAGAATAACCTAAGCAAACAAACCTGCCATTCTCACTCTAACCCAAAAGGGGTCTGTCCGAATGAACACAATAAAGGTCGAGGAGAAATTACAGAACAGCCCTCTGAGACCCCCACCTAGGTTGCTGGGTCTGGTAACCTTTAGCCTTCCCCATAATTCTAGCCATGAGACCATACAAATGCAATATAACGCGGCCTTATCAATATGCCAGTGTCACGTTTGAAATATGTCCCCTTCACCCTGACGTCATTGTAACCAATACGATGACTAACAGACAAAAGGTCATTTTCAAAAATCTGATTCTTAAATTGGTAAACGGACGTGATAAAAGGAGCCCGATGACTCATTCGAAAAGTTGACAATTTTCTTTTTAAAAAGTGAACACATCCCCATCGTCGCCTCGAGTTGGCCTGCTTGACAATCAAGCCTTATACGGCTTGACAATATTCAATAATGACATGCATGTACAAATTAGAAAGTAAGAGTCACCCAACCATAGTTGAGAGACAATACCGCTTCCCCCTCCGACAGAGATGGGGGCTCAACCGTCTGAAGATGACCAGAAATCAATACAGCGCACATGGCCACGATGGCCTGTCATTGATCACCGTTTCTGTAGACACCGTACACCCGTACGCAGGGAGGGTAATCACCCCGGCTAAGAACAATACCCTCTGTCTCTGTGAGTCATCAACGCGGCCTGGCTTTGTGTGGAGGTTGGGGTGGGGGAGACAGGGTCGGGGGTAGAGGAGATGGAGTCACAACTCGGGGGATGGGGTAGTGGAGATGAGTAAGAAGTGACATCACTGGTTTCAATCTGCAACTTTCATGCATACATGAGCGCGTACAAGTGAATCTGATGAGTTAATATTTGGACACTGTCGTTCAGATAATGTGTGTATCACTCCCACGTGACGTCACCGCGATGCCTGGACAATTGGGATTAATTTTAAACTTTGAATGATTTTTGACTGTCGCAAAAAATGTTTTGAAACCAATAGGCATTCAAAGAATTCAAAACAAAACAAATCTTAGTCATATGCTGGATTCATTAAACCTTTCAAAACTTTTAGTTTGTTTTACAATAAATACCAACCCACAGCCCCACTGTGTTAGTCAATACTGTTTAATGTGAACTTTCCCTCTAGTCAAGGACACATCTGTAAACGCCTGTCTGGATTCCTCAAGATTAGCAGTATATCTCATATTGAATTCGCCTCGTGTTATAAACTCGTTATTCATTCTCTGTGTTACAGAATTATGTCCACCGCTTCTAAAACTGGACTCGAACCTCGGTTACACCATCAACTCCTTCAACCGCAGCATCAACAGTGTTGTCAACGTCCTCTGCAACAATCGCACAGTCACTGTGCTGAAGTGCCTTTCAAGTCGTGTCTGGAACGGCACCAAAGCGCCCTGTACACAAGGTACTTCGCCCCCTCAACAACCAGTACTCGGCATTCAATGATTCACTGAGAACAGTATCCCACTAGCATTCCAACATTATAAGTAGCATGTGCTCTCCTTCACTGTGTTCATGTACAGCTCTTATATACTTAAATTTGGGCCTTAGGCCTATATGAGAAACTAATCGTACTGTCGTATTAACAATCGTTTGCAGACTTTGCATGTCATGGTCGTTCGAGTCCTGTTATGCATATACTATTAAACAAACAGCACATTAAATTAGAAACAGACTCGCAGTTCGCTTGAGTGAGGATTCGTTCTGTTTCAGACGTGGAAGTGGCGGAGGCGGAGGAGGTGCAGGTGGAGACGATCATCATCATCGTCTGGGTGCTAGGTGGCGTCCTGCTGCTCGCGCTCCTCGTGCTGCTGGCCGTCATCGTCACGTCACACAAGAAGGATGTCCGGGGCGGTTCACCAAGGTACTTATTTCTTTTCGTAAACCCGTAATGTTTACTTACATTGGCATATCACTGGTTGATTTTAAACTGAATGTACAAAGTTTTATTTGTAGTTATCCTTTACCATCTTGGACTTGTTTGGTTAGTACGTCACAATATGCAGTTATGAACTCACAAAACCAATGTACTGGGCTATTCTGTCTTTCAATACTTGTTTCGTTCGCCTTATTGAGGGGATATTTGTTTTGTGTGATAATTTAATTCCAACCTTTTGTATGTTGAATGTTTTAACAGAACATGTTGAGATATTCTCATTCATAGCTTTTCACAATTCAGAACGTCGATCTTTACCGTAACGTCCAACCGAAACTCACGAGGGGGAGACAACCCAGCATTTACGACTGAGAACGAATCCACACAGGGTCAGACGTCCTTAGCCAGGAATGGTTCCCACAGGTCGTCCCTCCGCCCGCCGTCTTACCATGAAGCTGTCTCCGGGAGGATCATATGTGTCCCGGGCGTGGCCGCAAGAATGTCCCCGAACGTGGGTAGAGCGACACCTAGCGGCGGGAGAAGGGAGATCAACAGCCCAAGAACTCGCCAAAATAGGGACGATAATTCCAGGTCCAACAACGGCACGAGAGGACGCTACGTATATGATTACCCATCATGCTACTGGGAGGAAGAACCCCCACCGCCATATTCACTTGTCGTCGGAGACAGACCCGAACCGTCTACGAGAATTCCAGCAAGCACCCCACACCCTCCTCGAAGTGCTCCGAATGCAAGTGTAGATTCTTCCCGAATTCAACACATCGAGAGACATAGGCCCCATCAAGCCTCGGCTCCGATAGCCAGGTCAGTAAGTGAATTAACATACTTCAAAATTTATCAAACAAGATATTCCTGTATACCATAGTAACAGACCATTCTCAGCGAATCTTCTGCTGCACGAGAGACAAGTGAATAGTTGGTATAGCAGATGTACCATGCAATCCTGGTTCTAAGCACGGGGTAGTGGTATAAGATCTTTTTGTGGCCTGTCATTTTCTCCAAGACGGTAGGCCGGGAACATATTACAATCACAATTGTTTTCGTCGATGCTGTGAAACTTGTATCACTTAGGCCGATTGTTTTCCATCGATCTCCCAGCAGAACAACGAGTCTTTGTTTAGTAATTACCCCTTGGATGTTGGTCCTTCTAATCTCCGCAAACGATGCTGGCTGGTTATTAGCTATTATTGCAACCTTAATTTCATTTTGTTTCCGTTCTCATATTTCTTCAAATGTGGTCTCTTTTTACCTTGCAGGTTAGAGTATGATTATTTCTGACTGTGAAGAGGTTGGATTTCAAAACCAACGACGGCTCGAGATTTGCATCACGTTGAGACGAGATACCCCGAGACCGATGCAATCGTTCCAAAGTGACAAGAACACTTTTAACGCCTTTGTGATTTTTCACCAAAACACGGGTGATGACATCTCACGTCACGTGACCGTCCAGAGACAATGTCAATAAGTTCCCATGTGCAATAACTGAGATAAGGCAATATATTTCAACGTGCAATCTGACATTTGATATTGACAGTCCGTGTCAATTACATGTAATTACCTGCTGTGGATATCCTAGTGAAACAGACGTGCTTTAGTAACGTGTGCAGTGACTCTGTGTGTGCCAAACTCTGTCTTACGGCTGCATGTACTTAACGGCGCCCACACTACACCTTGTGTGTTCGCTTTACTAACAAGCTGGTTATGTCTGTACATATTATCAGTATTTCATCTTTGCTTTATATCGGTGCTACCAAGCAGTATTACTTCATCAGTACCGCAATACTCATATTCCAGCTGCCTTACTGGATGTACATTGCTAGACCTAGTCATGCTTCCTCGCGGGATGCCAACTCACATGTCATCAGACAAATTCAGACTTCGTGCTATTCCATTCAGCGTTCTAAAACAACCAAACTGTCACGTTAGAAATACATTTCAACTATAACATTTAAAAAACCACTATATATACTGGCAGTTCCAAATGAGTCATTTGTCCTTTTAGCCAAATTAGAGAGACAGCCGAGCAATGTCTTTTTGTATATTCCAAACCATCCTATAAAAACAAGCCACATGTCTTGTCCTCCTTACCATTGAACCAGCGAAGGCCAGTCACTGCAGCCTGGACTTCTTCGTTTTATAAACCTTGATAAGGAGGCTTTTCTCGTCAACCTTCAACTCCAAAGCTTTTAAGTAAGGATAAGATATATGGATGAACAACTTCTTTATTACAATTTGGAGCGACGTTTCGGTGTAAGCTTTTCTTATATTTAGGAACCTGGACAGAAATGCGGACTATCAAAACCTTATATTACAACTCGATTTTGTAATTTGCTCGAAAAAAGGATGATAAGGAGGTGTAGATGAAGCCGTTTCGCGGTAGTGTTTTAAATATGGCTGTTAATCAGCGACGGCAGTCCCGTTGTGAAAGTGGCCGTGTACAGCTTGTGTAAGTATGTAGATAAGTAAGTAGATAGCGTGTCCGAGTGCTAGAGTCATCCAAAGAACACTGTACATATTACCACTCCGTGCTTCCTAGACGTCACGACAGTTAGCTTTCGTGACCATTCGTGTCATTCCGGGAAATGCCTGGCAGGTTACGGAAAGGGACGAGTGGTGACGAATGATCAAGTAGTTAAACTAGTTTAGCAACTTATCGGATCTTTCCGTCACCACGGAAACGACCGATCTGGATTTTGCGGCATTGCCTACATCGGTATTATTGACAGAAGTCTTCCACTAGCAAATTAGATACATATATATATATGTACATATGCATATATTGCAATTAACATTGCATAACGCGCCTGAGCGTCAAATCAAAGTTGTGTATATATATTCTGAGAGTATTACAATGATTTTTGTCTTGTTCTATTGGAAGTCCATCACGTTCTTTTGAATTTTCACATTGTTTAATTCAGTAAGTACTAGTTGTAATGGTTGTAATAGTCTTTGTTTTAACGAGAAGTCGTTTCCTAGCTACGCCCGTACCGCCAATGACCGTGTGTCACATGTTCCCGCTGCCAGCTTATTTCAGTTACAACCTCTGTACATTGCACTGTGTGATAATCTAATGTAAAAGTGTTATGAATATATCTCCATGTCATGTTGATCTATCACTTTCATAATACTCCTGGTTGTGTGCCTTCATATGTTTTGATACAGTAATATATTTACATGTTTATATGTAACCTATGTCGTGTGCCTTTCACTCACATCTGTGATGTCTGTCACAACAGACACGTCTATCAACTGTCAATGTTCACGCCCAGTCCGTATAGTCTCTTACGGAAAGGGGCGAGTGTTGACAAATACCATTGTACATAATCATTGTCTCTCCCGAACTCACAGAAAGAGACGAGTTTTGACGAACACCAACGTAGTTTGCACGAAAGCCAATGGCAAATATGATCATATGTGTTTTTTAAGGGTGCTCTCAAAAATGTTTTTGTACCGAACATTTGTAATGTCGTTCGATGAAATCCAGTATTTGAGGCGTGTCTCAAGTCAGTCATTGAGAAAAATGTTTTGATACTTTTTTAACTGAAAATGTGATGCTATGCAATGACCAATGACTACTTAGTGTGCCTGACATGTCCGTGTTGTTACTTGTTTCATCCCTGTCCAGTCATTATTGTCTTCCAAATAAATACGTTTTCAATGTACACACCCTCCCTTTGTGCATATGTAAGTATTCTACACCGTTATACACGTGAAGGCCTCACACTAATGTTACACATATCTCGGTTCCTTCTTCGAGTTGAATGTTTGTCAATATATATTACTTTCGAAACCATGCCCCATCACCAGCAGTAGGGAAATACCTAATTCTCGTGCGATGACAGCGTAACATTGAATTGCTAAATGTATTGACAGTATAAAAACTGAATAATTTCAGAAACACATTGCCACAAAGTGATGTTGGCACATAGAGGCGTGCATTGATCGAATACCCAATGCAATAATGTTAGTCAACACGAACTAAATTTTCCTTTTCGTGTAGTTTTCGAAATCACGATTGCTATACATATGAGCACATCTGGCATTGCTGATGCTTTGCTGTCACGCATCCGGAAGTGCGGTCCATCCCGCGGCCAGTTGTTTCAGTTGTGTGCATTGTACCAGGCCGCTATGGCAGTGAGTTGATGTGGACACCAGGGTGATTGTTGATGAGGAGATTTTGTCGAATACCCTGTTACCGAAACAAGAAGTTGATAATTAGAACTCGTTTCCACAGAAACGACCGGAAAAAACATCAACTGAATTTGAACAGATAGGAAAATTGCGCATGAGAAAATGATAAGAAACTGTTGGTGTGCAAGCGAAGGTCCCTTTTGCTCATCCTCTTTGATAATGATGAACAAGCTTAAAGAACGATCGTGTGATATGTGTAGCTTGTCTGAGGTATTGAAACTGTGACGATAAATGGCAAATCTGTTTCATAATCTGACTGTAGATATTGTAGACTGTAGCTTAGACAGTATCAAGGCACAACCCCGTATGCTTGCTGTAATCGCCTATTTCACGTCATGAATGCTATGAAACTGTTATCTTACAGATGTAAATTTGTATGCAATGTATGGATGACAGTGGCTTTAAGTGTGACGCATTGTACAGAAATTCTGCTGAATATTGGATCGAGCAATGTAGTTTGTACAACTTGTAAATCCTTTTTGTACTGCAAACACAATATACTCATACAGTCGTGTGCCTACTCGAAGTCGGTATTCGAGGTAAGGACGGTGTAAGTGGCCTTGTGGTGCAGAGATCTCACATCAGGCCTGGTTCTATTCTCGACTCTAATCTCTGTGAAGTCGGTTTGGTAAAACCTAATTCACAGTTTGTTTCTACACACCAATGTATGACAGGGCGAGATGGTGGTGTCTGTGCCATCTATAGGACGCGTGCAGTACACACCATGTGTTGTACGCCGTCAGTGCCTTACACCTTGCAGCCTTGTATCACTGTAACATGTTCAATGTAAAGAAGGCTCTTTACAAATAAAATATATTAATGATAAGTGGATATGCATTATATGTTTCCCCGTGAATTGGACTTATGACACATTAGACAGAACTCATGAACATACTTAATTATAGTATACAATCGACACAACCAGAATTATTTGCCACGTTTAAGATTGTCATTGCATATGACGGCTGTGTAGCGTCATCGTGCGCCCAGTACACTGCAAGGTTACGCTGGAAAGTACACATCGTGAAGCATATTCTGTGTACAAGTCACACGGACGCACGAAGCACTATACGGATGTTTACTTCTTTTGAGAGGAGATAATAAATTAAGAACGTAGTATTCATCAGTTTGTCGTGACACTAACTTGGTGGTAATAGTTCAGTCACACGACCACATTTGAACATCTTTATATAATCTTTCATCGAACTGGCAAGAATAACGATGCAACTGTTATAACACCATTTCTCGTAACCATGGAAACCTTTGGACAGTATGAAAAACTGGAAACAAAATATCGAGTAATTCTTGTTTCCCATGCCAGATGGCCTATGCGACCAGTAATCGAGTTAAAATGGCGAACTCGACAATCAGAAATGCTCAATGTGGCTAATTATCGTCGGTGCCGAGATTCTCGAGGGGCCGGAGCACGCGCTAGGGCGGAGCGGTACTTTGCAAAAACTATAGTAGGCCTCGGGTAGAAAAATGCTCTATTGTTGTGTTGAAGGCCGCGAACTAGCGTGTAATACTTAAACAAATCGACTAATCTAATTCACTCGAGATCGACAAAAGACCATTGGCTTATACGGCGGACGTGCGTGGTTTAACACTGTTTATGAATCTGATGATAAGACTGTTATTACGCTAGGACGAAAGAGAGAAAATCGCATTTCCACCTAGAAAATCTACGAAAAGAGTGACAATGAAATTACCCTCCTATGTTGGATGACGTGATATAATCGGTTTCTCATTATGAGCAATCTTCCTGATTAATTGAAAGTATTATCCGCTGATTACATAAAGATTACAAAGTCGTTAGATGGAAAGACTTGTTTACACAGTCATCTCACAGGCTCAGTCCCATTGTCTCCAGTGAAGCATCTTCTGTTAATTAAGACACAGTTCAAATCCAATCATTAACTATGTTTTTGGACGTTTAGCAGATTTATTGAAAGCGACGATGATTTATTGTTAGAAACGGGTTAGTCATCTCAGAGACAGTGAGGGAGGGAAACTTTCGTTTTCAAATGAGGTCTTCATTGTCGCATAAAATTTAGGTCATATCAATAATGTGGTGATATTGCTTTTTAACTTTTAAAAACTTATCAAACACTGCCACTAAACAGAAGATTTTTTGAATTGGCTCATTCGGTTTCCCATTTTCTTGATAACCAATCTTGTGTAATTTACAGTATGTCTTTTATTGATGCTTTATGGGACGAAATCACTTTATACGAGATAGAAGAAGCCATTTCCAACCTGAAACTCGACAATCCGCCTGGAGAGGACGACTGGTTACCCCCAGAGTTTTTTTTCAAGTGTGCCTGATCTTTCCTCATTCTCTTTTTGAAATTACTACAGTACATACAGGTATGATCCCCTTTTGTGATAAGTCCTTTATGCAAATCTGGAAAATAAAAAACAAAACAAAACATGTTTCACCTTTTAATGGTACTGGCAGGTTAGTTACTTATCTGTTGGAAACAAGGTTGAGAACATGGAAGGAAATTAATGCTTATATATCGGAATCTCAATGTGGTTTTCTTTGTTTATTTATTCTACGACTGATAAATGTGTACATTTTACAGTCATTGTGCGCTAAATATATATGCAACTCGAAGGGCCGTTTTTACTGTGCTATCGTTGATTTCAAGAAAGCCTCCGAATTTCGTTGATAGGTAAAGTTTTTTGGATACTTGGAATTAAGGGTTGTCATGGGAACATGTTTTATGTTCTGCAAAGTGTGAATTCATGACTAAACCCATGTTCAGAAACAGGTAAGCAGACTCTGTTTCAACTTCCAGAGGTGTAAGACAGGGGTGTAAATTGTGTCCTATTTTATTCATTTTCTTTAACAACGAAATTGTAACACATGCCATTAGCCAGGCGGTAGTCAGTCAAGCCAGTATAGCCATACTGTTGTCAGACATGATAGTAGCTAGGCGTGCCGGTAGTCAGTCAAGCCAGTATAGCCATACTGTTGTCCTTCATGAGAGTAGCCAGGCGTGCCGGTAGTCAGTCAAGCCAGTATAGCCATACTGTTGTCCTTCATGAGAGTAGCCAGGCGTGCCGGTAGTCAGTCAAGCCAGTATAGCCATACTGTAGTCAGACATGATAGTAGCCAGGCGTGCCGGTAGTCAGTCAAGCCAGTATAGCCATACTGTAGTCAGACATGATAGTAGCCAGGCGTGCCGGTAGTCAGTCATGCCAGTATAGCCATACTGTTGTCCTTCATGATAGTAGCCAGGCGTGCCGGTAGTCAGTCAAGCCAGTATAGCCATACTGTAGTCAGACATGATAGTAGCCAGGCGTGCCGGTAGCCAAACAAGCCAGTATAGACATACTGTAGTCAGACATGAGAGTAGCCAGGCGTGCCGGTAGTCAGTCAAGCCAGTATAGCCATACTGTTGTCAGACATGATAGTAGCCAGGCGTGCCGGTAGCCAGACAAGCCAGTATAGCCATACTGTTGTCAGAAATGATAGTAGCCAGGCGTGCCGGTAGTCAGTCAAGCCAGTATAGCCATACTGTAGTCAGAAATGATAGTAGCCAGGCGTGCCGGTAGTCAGTCATGCCAGTATAGCCATACTGTAGTCAGACATGATAGTAGCCAGACAGTAGCCATTATTTAGACAGTAGTAAGACAGAAGCCGGACACATCAGTAGTAAGACAGTAGCCAGTCATGTCAGTAGCCATGAAGCCAGTAGTCAGACAGTAGCCAGACATGTCAGTAGCCATGCAAACCAGTAGTCAAACAGTAGCAAGGCATGTCAGTAGCCATGCAAGCCAGAAGTCAGACAGTAGCCAGACATATCAGTAGCCATGCAAGCCAGTAGTCAGACAGTAGCCAGGTATGTCAGTAGCCATACAAGCCAGTAGTCAGACATGCAGTAGCCAGCCATGTCAGTAGCCATGCAAGCCAGTTGTCAGACAGTAGCCAGCCATGTCAGTAGCCATGCAAACCAGTAGTCAAACAGTAGCAAGGCATGTCAGTAGCCATGCAAGCCAGAAGTCAGACAGTAGCCAGACATATCAGTAGCCATGCAAGCCAGTAGTCAGACAGTAGCCAGGTATGTCAGTAGCCATACAAGCCAGTAGTCAGACATTCAGTAGCCAGCCATGTCAGTAGCCATGCAAGCCAGTAGTCAGACAGTAGCCAGGCATGTCAGTAACCATGCAAGCAAGTAGTCAGACAGTCGCCATGGAAGCCAGTTGTCAGACAGTAGCCAGCCATGTCAGTAGCCATGCAAGCCAGTAGTCCGACAGTAGCCAGGCATGTCAGTAGCCATGCAAGTCTGTAGTCAGACAGTAGCCATGCAAGCCAGTAGTCAGACAGTAGCCAGACATGTAAGTAGCCATGGAAGCCAGTAGTCAGACATGCAGTGGCCAGGCATGTCAGTAGCCATGCAAGCCAGTAGTCAGACAGTAGCCAGACATGTCAGTAGCCATGCAAGCCAGTAGTCAGCCATGTAAGTAGTCAGACAGTAGCCAGACATGTCAGTAGCCATGCAAGCCAGTAGTCTGATATGCAGTAGCCAGGCATGTCAGTAGCCATGCAAGCCAGTTGTCAGACATGCAGTAGCCAGGCATATCAGTAGCCATGCAAGCCAGTAGTCAGACAGTAGCCAGACATGTCAGTAGCCTTGCAAGCCAGTAGTCAGACAGTAGGTAGGCATGTCACTAGCCATGCAAGCCAGTAGTCAGACATGCAATAGCCAGACATGTCAGTAGCCATGCAAACCAGTAGTCAGACAGTAGCCTGGTATGTCAGTAGCCATGCAAGCCAGTAGTAAGACAGACGTCAGACATGTCAGTAGACATGCAAGCCAGTAGTCAGACATGTCAGTAGCCATGCAAGCCAGTAGTCAGACAGTAGTCGGGTATGTCAGTAGCCATGCAAGCCCGTAGTAAGACAGTAGCCAGGTTTGTCAGTAGCCATGCATGCCAGTAGTCAGACAGTAGCCACACATGTCAGTAGCCATGTTAGCCAGTAGTCAGACAGCAGACAGGTATGTCAGTAGCCATGCAAGCCCGTAGTAAGACAGTAGCCAGGTTTATCAGTAGCCATGCATGCCAGTAGTCAGACAGTAGCCACACATGTCAGTAGCCATGCTAGCCAGTAGTCAGACAGCAGACAGGTATGTCAGTAGCCATGCAAGCCAGTAGTCAGACAGTAGCCAGCCATGTCAGTAGTCATACAAGCCAGTAGTCAGACAGCAGCCAGGTATGTCAGTAGTCAGTAGCCAGACATATCAGTAGCCTTGCAAGCCAGTGCCTGTTGTCGTATGTTTACTCCGATTGTCAGTTAATAATATATATAATACATGTTGGTTCAGAAACTATTCCTGGGATTTAAAAAAAAAATTGTCCCAGAAAATGCTGGAAAAAATATATCTTCGGATTGTTAGGAAAAAAGAAGTTGTCAGTCATTAGCTAAAAACATATTTCGCCACAACAAAAAATCTTCTCAAGTCTACATGTCATCAGCTGGTAATTTCAGAAACCGTCAGATATAGCAACAACTAAAACAAGACACTAGTGTGCCATGCAAATGTACACATTTATTTCACGAGCGACAACTTGTAATACTTTTTTAACTATCGATGCTTTCTCAGTTTGAAGAGAAGTTATATAATTTCCTTTCGGTGTTGCAATATGTTTTAGTGGTATGCTGTCTTCTTTCATTGGTTATCTCCCTTTAGGAAAGAAAATTAGATTGACATTGCACTCAACTGGTAAGTAAACATCGCTGTGTTCTTCGTCCAACATCGCCAGCAGTGATGTAATGTTTTCTATCGAGCATAGATTTATATTATAATACGGTCTGGAATCACGAACACAACTGTAACCTGACAGTTGTCACTAAATATTCATAGGCGAAACTTGAAGCCGTCACCCTATCTCTTGTCCAGACGACATTCGTACGTACCCTTAATTATAGTTAATATACTGTTTGTACAATATTATGGATTTAAACAAGTCAAGGATTGGTCTCTACTGAAACATCCTCAATAAGTCACTATCAAATCTCATTTAGCACGTCAACTCCCCCCTCCAACACACACACACACACACACACACACACACACTGGGGACATCCAGATGGGGAGCTACGATATCATCATTCTCACAGCTGTACTGTGTGACATCTACTGCCCCCTCCAACACACACACACACATACACACACTGGGGACATCCAGATGGGGAGCTACGATATCATCATTCTCACAGCTGTACTGTGTGACATCTACTGCCCCCTCCAAACACACACACACACACACTGGGGACATCCAGATGGGGAGCTACGATATCATCATTCTCACAGCTGTACTGTGTGACATCTACTGCCCCCTCCAAACACACACACACACACACACACACACACATACACACACTGGGGACATCCAGATGGGGAGCTACGATATCATCATTCTCACAGCTGTACTGTGTGACATCTACTGCCCCCTCCAACACACACACACACACACACACACACACACACACACACACACACACACACACACACTGGGGACATCCAGATGGGGAGCTACGATATCACTGATCATTCTCACAGCTGTACTGTGTGACATCTGCTGACCAATACATACACCGACTCCCTACTGTAACATATATAATATATAGTTCCAATGCTGACCTTTTCACAAGTGAAATTTAAACATTTTTCATACCCACTAATTCCCAAACATTTTCCTGTGTTCACAAATTATTTTATTTGAAGATTTTTTTTGTCAGAATGTTGAACCCCAGGACATGATAAAGTTAACAGCCTGGGTAGCTGCTACTGTAGTCCGGAGTGTAGCCGATAGCTGCTACTGTAGTCCGGAGTGTAGCCGGTAGATGCTACTGTAGTCCGGAGTGTAGCCGGTAGATGCTACTGTAGTCCGGAGTGTAGCCGGTAGATGCTACTGTAGTCCGGAGTGTTGCCGGTAGATGCTACTGTAGTCCGGAGCGTAGCCGGTAGATGCTACTGTAGTCCGGAGTGTAGCCGGTAGATGCTACTGTAGTCCGGAGTGTAGCCGGTAGCTGCTACTGTAGTCCGGAGTGTAGCCGGTAGATGCTACTGTAGTCCGGAGTGTAGCCGGTAGATGCTACTGTAGTCCGGAGTGTAGCCGGTAGATGCTACTGTAGTCCGGAGTGTAGCCGGTAGATGCTACTGTAGAGAGAACAAGTCCGGAGTGTAGCTGGTAGATGCTACTGTAGTCCGGAGTGTAGCCGGTAGATGCTTCTGTAGTCCGGAGTGTAGCCGGTAGATGCTACTGTAGTCCGGAGTGTAGCCGATAGATGCTACTGTAGTCCGGAGGGTAGCCGGTAGATGCTACTGTAGTCCGGAGTGTAGCCGGTAGATGCTACTGTAGTCCGGAGTGTAGCCGGTAGATGCTACTGTAGTCCGGAGTGTAGCCGGTAGCTGCTACTGTAGTCCGGAGTGTAGCCGGTAGCTGCTACTGTAGTCCGGAGTGTAGCCGGTAGATGCTACTGTAGTCCGGAGAGTAGTCGGTAGATGCTACTGTAGTCCGGAGTGTAGCCGGTAGATGCTACTGTAGAGAGAACAAGTCCGGAGTGTGTATTTGCTTCCTCTGTTGATCATGTTCACAAAACCTGTCTTCATAACTGACTCAACAGGAAAAAAAACCAATGTTCCCAAAATAGGGCCTATATAATTATTCCATATTCATAACATTGTTGGTCATCAGATTTATAAACATGATGAAATATCCGGGAATAAGAACAACAAAGGGGGATCTTTGTGAATCTACTGGTGGTTTCCATAGGAAGCATCAGACCACGCTGTGGAGTATAGTGGTCAGTGTGTAATGTGTATATCCAGCAGATGTCCAGCATGTGGGCAGACTGACCTGCGACCATGAACACCTCCACTACACCCCTCCCACTTGAAGCCTTTGCGCTGAACCTCGTCAGAAGACTCAACATGTCAGGTACAGCTTATCAATTAATGTGTTGGAAGTGGTTGGGATTTCATTCATCAATCACTGGTCCTAATCAGTTTTTCCTACCTAGTCAATCATTGATTATAATCAGGATGTCCAATTTTTGTCTGTATTTTCCATAAACTGTCAATATTTTTTTGTGTGGTAATTCTTATTCCCTAAATGAAATGCTTGATTAATTTCAAATTAATCATGAATGTGTTTGTTCAATTATTTTGAGATAAAAAGGAATGTTTTAAAAATTTGAATAAAAATTTGATATAAGAGAGCACTTTCCTCCACATTTGATTATGTCAAAGAAGGGCACTCCGTATCACTCACTGGATCAGTAGAGGGGAACCGATTCACCACTGATGATGATTGATCATCAGAATAACATGACTAGTCTGTATATCATCATCTGTGGTGGCAAGCATCCATGTTTTCATCCATCACCCCCAGAGTTCATCCATGTGTTATGTCAACCGTCTCCCAAGCACTTGTCCGTGGATGTTATAATTACAGTCTTTTTCAAGGAAATTTATCCCAAACCAAAACACTAAACAATGCTATTTTGGGTAATTGATTGTCCGTTGATCCAGGTGGTAATGTGTCATAGCTACATAGCTACCTATATTTCCTTCTGTATGTTAATGTTCAACACCTTCAAACGTTCAACTTTGGCCACACCTAGATGTATGTATGCTTCCGCTCCAGATAGGCGTGAAGCTGATACCTAACATTGCCTCTCAAGTTTACTGGACTACATTGACAACTCTCTTTCCCCACATGGGAATCCCTGTTAATGTTTAACTGATTAGTTGGAGGTTTGTTTGGCAGAGCTCTCTAGTTTAATATCATTTTCTTTAACTGTTATTTACATCAGGGATACAGGGAAAGCTTTTGTATAACTCACCAAAATGTTTGCTGATCGTGGTAAGTGTCATTTCAGTTCGTCCTGCATGCATTTGGAATAGAGGATGTGATATATTATGTCAGAATTCACACCACTGTCGCAAACAATGTACAATGTAGATTGAATTTAAAAGTGTCTTGTTTCAAGCAACACCTGGTCACACAACTCCAAACAGTGGTCTACCCCCCACAGAGAGCAGAGAGGAGTTCTTCCATCACCTCACTCTGAAGGATGAGACAGTGTTTGTGGCCCTCATTGTCATGGGCGTCATCGTGCCCGCAATCTTCATCTCTGTCTTTGCCCTTATTTGCATCAGAAGACACAAGGAGATGAAGGCCAGGAAGTAAGAGTTACCTCCCTTTCACCAGTAATGCTCATGGGCAGTCCACAGCAACATGCTCGATACTACACCCACTCTCTATACTACACCCACTCTCTATACTACACCCACTCTCTATACTACACCCACTCTCTGTACTACATCCACTCTCTGTACTACACCCACTCTCTGTACTACACCCACTCTCTATACTACACCCACTCTCTATACTACACCCACTCTCTGTACTACACCCACTCTCTATACTACACCCACTCTCTATACTACACCCACTCTCCATACTACATCCACTCTCTATACTACACCCACTCTCTATACTACACCCACTCTCTGTACTACACCCACTCTCTGTACTACACCCACTCTCTATACTACACCCACTCTCTATACTACACCCACTCTCTGTACTACACCCACTCTCTATACTACATCCACTCTCTATACTACACCCACTCTCTATACTACACCCACTCTCTATACTACACCCACTCTCTATACTACACCCACTCTCTATACTAGACCCACTCTCTGTACTACACCCACTCTCTGTACTACACCCACTCTCTATACTACACCCACTCTCTGTACTACACCCACTCTCTATACTAGACCCACTCTCTATACTACACCCACTCTCTATACTACACCCACTCTCTATACTACACCCACTCTCTATACTACACCCACTCTCTGTACTACACCCACTCTCTATACTACACCCACTCTCTGTACTACACCCACTCTCTGTCCTACACACACTCTCTATACCACACCCACTCTCTGTACTACACCCACTCTCTGTTCTACACCCACTCTCTATACTACACCCACTCTCTGTACTACACCCACTCTCTGTACTACACCCACTCTCTATACTACACCCACTCTCTGTACTACATCCACTCTCTTTACTACACCCACTCTCTGTACTACACCCACTCTCTCTACTACACCCACTCTCTATACTACACCCACTCTCTATACTACACCCACTCTCTATACTACACCCACTCTCTGTACTACACCCACTCTCTCTACTACACCCACTCTCTGTACTACACCCACTCTCTATACTAGACCCACTCTCTATACTACACCCACTCTCTATACTACACCCACTCTCTATACTACACCCACTCTCTATACTAGACCCACTCTCTGTACTACACCCACTCTCTATACTACACCCACTCTCTATACTACACCCACTCTCTGTCCTACACACACTCTCTATACCACACCCACTCTCTATACTACACCCACTCTCTGTTCTACACCCACTCTCTGTACTACACCCACTCTCTCTACTACACCCACTCTCTATACTACACCCACTCTCTGTACTACATCCACTCTCTATACTACACCCACTCTCTGTACTACACCCACTCTCTCTACTACACGCACTCTCTATACTACACCCACTCTCTATACTACACCCACTCTCTATACTACACCCACTCTCTATACTACACCCACTCTCTATACTACACCCACTCTCTGTACTACACCCACTCTCTCTACTACACCCACTCTCTGTACTACACCCACTCTCTGTACTACACCCACTCTCTGTACTACACACACTCTCTATACTACACCCACTCTCTGTACTACACCCACTCTCCATACTACACTCACTCTCTGTACTACACCCACTCTCTATACTACACCCACTCTCTATACTACACCCACTCTCTATACTACACCCACTCTCTGTACTACACCCACTCTCCATACTACACTCACTCTCTATACTACACCCACTCTCCATACAACACCCACTCTCTATACTACACCCACTCTTTGTACTACACCCACTCTCTATATTACACCCACTCTCTATACTACACCCACTCTCTATACTACACCCACTCTCTGTACTACACCCACTCTCCATACTACACTCACTCTCTATACTACACCCACTCTCCATACTACACCCACTCTCTATACTACACCCACTCTCTATACTACACCCACTCTCTATACCACACCCACTCTCTATACTACACCCACTCTCTGTACTACACCCACTCTCTGTACTACACCCACTCTCTATACTACACCCACTCTCTGTTCTACACCCACTCTCTATACTACACCCACTCTCTGTACTACACCCACTCTCTCTACTACACCCACTCTCTATACTACACCCACTCTCTGTACTACATCCACTCTCTATACTACACCCACTCTCTGTACTACACCCACTCTCTCTACTACACCCACTCTCTATACTACACCCACTCTCTATACTACACCCACTCTCTATACTACACCCACTCTCTGTACTACACCCACTCTCTCTACTACAACCACTCTCTGTACTACACCCACTCTCTGTACTACACCCACTCTCTATACTAGACCCACTCTCTATACTACACCCACTCTCTATACTACACCCACTCTCTATACTACACCCACTCTCTATACTAGACCCACTCTCTGTACTACACCCACTCTCTATACTACACCCACTCTCTATACTACACCCACTCTCTGTCCTACACACACTCTCTATACCACACCCACTCTCTATACTACACCCACTCTCTGTTCTACACCCACTCTCTATACTACACCCACTCTCTGTACTACACCCACTCTCTCTACTACACCCACTCTCTATACTACACCCACTCTCTATACTACACCCACTCTCTCTACTACACGCACTCTCTATACTACACCCACTCTCTATACTACACCCACTCTCTATACTACACCCACTCTCTATACTACACCCACTCTCTATACTACACCCACTCTCTGTACTACACCCACTCTCTCTACTACACCCACTCTCTGTACTACACCCACTCTCTGTACTACACCCACTCTCTATACTACACCCACTCTCTGTACTACACCCGCTCTCTATACTACACCCACTCTCTATACTACACCCACTCTCTATACTACACCCACTCTCCATACAACATCCACTCTCTATACTACACCCACTCTCTGTACTACACCCACTCTCTGTACTACACCCACTCTCTGTACTACACACACTCTCTATACTACACCCACTCTCTGTACTACACCCACTCTCCATACTACACTCACTCTCTGTACTACACCCACTCTCTATACTACACCCACTCTCTATACTACACCCACTCTCTGTACTACACCCACTCTCCATACTACACTCACTCTCTATACTACACCCACTCTCCATACAACACCCACTCTCTATACTACACCCACTCTTTGTACTACACCCACTCTCTATATTACACCCACTCTCTATACTACACCCACCCTCTATACTACACCCACTCTCTGTACTACACCCACTCTCCATACTACACTCACTCTCTGTACTATACCCACTCTCTGTACTACACCCACTCTCTGTACTACACCCACTCTCTATACTACACCCACTCTCTATACTACACCCACTCTCTATACTACACCCACTCTCTGTACTACACCCACTCTCTGTACTACACCCACTCTCCATACAACACCCACTCTCTATACTACACCCACTCTCTGTACTACACCCACTCTCTATATTACACCCACTCTCTATACTACACCCACTCTCTATACTACACCCACTCTCTGTACTACACCCACTCTCCATACTACACTCACTCTCTGTACTATACCCACTCTCTGTACTACACCCACTCTCTGTACTACACCCACTCTCTATACTACACCCACTCTCTATACTACACCCACTCTCTATACTACACCCACTCTCTGTACTATACCCACTCTCTGTACTACACCCACTCTCTGTACTACACCCACTCTCCATACTACACTCACTCTCTGTACTATACCCACTCTCTGTACTACACCCACTCTCTGTACTACACCCACTCTCCATACTACACCCACTCTCTGTACTACACCCACTCTCTGTACTACACCCACTCTCTGTACTACACCCACTCTCTGTACTACACCCACTCTCTATACTACACCCACTCTCCATACTACACTCACTCTCTATACTACACCCACTCTCCATACTACACCCACTCTCTATACTACACCCACTCTCTTTGTACTACACCCACTCTCTATACTACACCCACTCTCCATACTACACTCACTCTCTGTACTATACCCACTCTCTGTACTACACCCACTCTCTGTACTACACCCGCTCTCTGTACTACACCCGCTCTCTATACTACACCCACTCTCTGTACTACACCCACTCTCTGTACTACACCCACTCTCTATACTACACCCACTCTCTGTACTACACCCGCTCTCTGTACTACACCCGCTCTCTATACTACACCCACTCTCTATACTACACCCACTCTCTGTACTACACCCACTCTCTGTACTACACCCACTCTCTATACTACACCCACTCTCTATACTACACCCACTCTCTTTACTACATCCACTCTCTGTACTACACCCACTCTCTATACTACACCCACTCTCTATACTACAGCCACTCTCTTTACTACATCCACTCTGTATACTACACCCACTCTCTATACTACTGCTGCCACCAGTAACAATGCTGAGCATGGTGTAGACAAGGTATTCACAAAAGATTGCAGCCATTATTTTCTTGTTTGGAGCTGCCCATTTATGTTTATTTTCCAGACACATAAAACAGAGATGTTGTTCCCAATACTTCGATGACTCATACCAACAGTGCAGAATCCGATTAGCTTATCTTGACTGAGAGAGATATTAGTTGCGAGGTATTAGAGTACATTGATTAGAATGATTGTTATGTTTCTGGCTCTACATGAGACTGTTGTTGCAGGGCGGCGATGTTGCTGCGGGATGCCCAGGATATGGCGATGGAGGACTACCCCTACACGATGCGGGGTCTCACTCGCTTCTCCCACTGGAGGATCTGATGGAGCCCCTGATGGAGCCCCTGACGGAGCCCCTGATGGAGCCCCTGACAGAGCCCCTGATGGAGCCCCTCAGCCTAGAATGCAATAATGTGACACAAGCACCATGGCAACTGGCAGTAACAACAGCTTAGTTTATTTCCACCATACGGGTAAATGTAACACACGGTACACTGAGGTCACAACACTGCTGTCTGGCTCCCCATACATGATCTAGATATACATCTGTCAGGTGGGGTCACAGTTCATCTGTATTTTGGCTAACCAGACAAAAGTCAATGAGGTCACATGGAACATGAACTTTGTTTATGCAGGTATTTCTGTGTTTTCAAGTAAAACTGTTGCTGCAAAGGGACTGGTCATTTATTAAAGGGAGATGAGGAGGGGGCGGTGAGATTGGTCTTAGGGCTGTATCATACTTTGCCCCTCCCCCTCAATTTATGTAACATATTTCATGGCCCACCCAAATTCATTAAAGTTTTTTTTTTAATAAATGAACAGTCCCTAAATAATATAATTCTTTATTTGAAAAAAATAGAGCTATGTCCTTTTGTCATGGCCCCCCATTATAGCTGTGATAAGTTTTGACGACGCCCCCTCTTTCGCTGTGTCATTATTTCATGACACTCACCCCCACTCAATCTCACCAGCCCCCAGCCCCTGTAATAAATCACCAGTCCCTAACAACTGTCTAGTCTCAACTTAAAAATGTGATGAATATATATACAAATTGATATTCCTGACAACGCAATATTTTGTTTTTGTGCAATTATTACAAACTTGCCACTTCTTTACACTTTGAAATTAAAAAAACACCTCCTGATTTTCCCAGTGCCCTGGATAGACACTGCAGTTGTATCAAGATACTGCATTAAGTTAGTCCTTAAGTCCTTTGGTTTAGCAGCTGTTCAACGCCAACAACTGGCTGTTTTGTTAAGTATTGTATCCTGTTGACTGGAAGAGTCAGCTGTGTCACTTGTATTGTTCATCTGTCATGGTGTTTGATGTCTGATGTATATCTCAAGTGTCTTGTAGTAGCACAGTGCTGTAGCCTTCTATGTCACATACACAACAGGACAGTAGCTGTCAGGAGAACGTCCCTAGCACAGTGCTGTAGCCTTCTGTCACCACGTACATAGCGTGTCAGTAGCTGTCAGGAGAACGTCCCTAGCACAGTGCTGTAGCCTTCTGTCACCACGTACATAGCGTGTCAGTAGCTGTCAGGAGAACGTCCCTAGCACAGTGCTGTAGCCTTCTGTCAACACGTACATAGCGTGTCAGTAGCTGTCAGGAGAACGTCCCTAGCACAGTGCTGTAGCCTTCTATGTCACATACACAACAGGACAGTAGCTGTCAGGAGAACGTCCCTAGCACAGTGCTGTAGCCTTCTGTCACCACGTACATAGCATCAGTAACTATGAGGAACTAGTCCCAAGCGCAGCGCTAACCCTTCTATCTCTAGTATGCTATGAATGATGATGTCTACAGGAAGGGAAGTGAGTCCCATGCGATGCAGCTCTATGTTTATATGTGCACAGGCACTTACAATTAACGTATCTGATCATGTAGTTCCCCACTATAACTTGACTGTTAACTAATGCCTATGTTTGACTTGTTACTAGCTCTGCTGTCAGTTTTGTCATGGCGCAATAATGTAGGTCTGTTGTGAAAAGGGATCACATCACTCATGTTTTACATAGATGTCCGTCCAATGTGAGTTTGTGTGCTTGGTTAAGGAATTATAGATCACACAATGATAATAATATGACCTGGTGATAAGAGTGTGATGACTTTATGTTAGTAGGGTCTTGTATCCCTACTGGAGTCCAAAGCGTGAGGTGACTATTGCTGTGGCCTGACAGGCTGGCGTAGGCCGGCAGCTCAAGGATGTCCGGGTGGACTCAGCATGGGAATCTCCCAGTAGGCCATGCTCAGTCCTGCTGTATTTAAATATTTTGAAATGTTTCATAAGGCATGTTACCTGGGCAACAAAAGTCAGTCTGCTGTGGTGTATCGAGGGGCACCTCACCTGTGTCTGAGGCTGTGAACTTCAAACATGAGTTATGTAACTAGTTTCTGACTTATTACGCTTAAACATGAGTCCAGCTGATATGTTACAGGTCTACAAGTAGGGATACAAGACAACATGACATTCAGACAAATACCTCTCACATGAACGTCAATGAGGGAGCAACCATTTGATAATCTGCTGGGGCCTGGGAATATGTAAAAAACAAGTAAGTTGTCCCAGAAAATTCTTGAAAAAAATAATTATGCTTCAGACTTTTAAAAAAAATAAAAATTTCTGGCACAAAAATTACACAGCTGCAAGGTTTTTTTCTGAAAAAGAATATTCAGACTCATAGCTTTAAAAAAAAATATATCTGGTTTTGCAGATGTGGATGAAAAAATATCTAATCTCCTGACAAAAACCTAGCCCCCTGATTATCAAATAGTCTGATAAAAACTGAAGCCAGTTTCCCATGCTGTTAACATATTTCACAAGTCAATGACTTTATTTATTTAAAGTTTATTTATTTATGAGTGGCAGCTTTAATAGAGTCAATGTCAAAACCTAGAATACACCCTTAGCATGCTGGGGTTTCTATCAAACATAGTTCAGGAAGTGGGTGGTTGATGAGTGTGACAGACTCCACTCTGTGAGGAATCTCGTGTGTCTGGTGCATGGTGCAGCTCACGGCTGACGCCAATGTTGCCAGTGTCGGGGAGAAGTTGTCTCCCTTTGCCCAGGTCTCCCATTGTGTTGTTGCTAGTGCAGTCAGTTCTTGATATAATGACAAGCTTGTTGTCTTGATACACATGACTTGTTAACTGCCATTTGCATTTTTAGTGTACAAATTTTCATAAATGAAATTAATTTAAACATTATTTATTTGATAAAGTTTAATACTCTTAATGCATCAGAACTTCAGAGATCATGTCCCCTGTTATTTGACAGTTCAGCAATGACACTGTTTGATGAGACATTCAAGTAACTATAGGTCTGAAAACAAGCTAAATGATGGTCTGAGAGATTACACAAGTACAACTGATCTGATACTCCATCAATCTCTTGTATGTCAGTGTATGTGTGTGTGTCAAAATGATAAGCTGCATGTAGAAATATTAAAGTGGCAGTTACAGCCATTGCACCAGTCAGAGACCATATATTATATGGTCTCTGCACCAGTGAACTATTATGTTCATCATAGAGTTATGTTCTGAGAGAATATCACAATGCATTTTATCTGAGTCTCACTAAATAGGAAATGTTACATCTTGAAAAGATTTTTCAAACAGATTTCACAAGGAATCCACCGTAGTCTGCTTGCTTAGCTTATGTTTGGTTGTCAGTATTCATTTTCTTGTGTTATTCTAGGTCAACAAGTTTGTGACCAATGTCTCCTGTTCTAGGTATCTGTGTGAGTTTCTCAACTCTGTATTTATTTATCTTGGAACAGAATTAAGTTACTTGTTTGTACACTGTTGTTACATCCTATATAGTTATTCCTATATTCTTTCTATTTTGTCAGTGATTTTTTTCACATTTCCCTGAATGATTTGCATCAATAAATTTAACTAGGTGCTGATATTGACCAGGAACACGGTAATAGCAACCACATAGGTGGTGAGGAATTAAATAACATAGTATTTTACCTTGTCGGGACTCCTATCAGATACTAACTGACCCGGATTAAGAGCACAGACACAAATGTCCTAACTAGCTGGCTGGTAACACAATAAGAGAGTGATTAGTGACACGGATGGGTCACATGGTACTGGTGCACCTGCGCGTGAGAGGATGCGTATGGGGAGATGTTTTTCTGTTCTCCGGGAACACAGCACGTGAACTTTCCACTAGCTTGAGGGAAGAAGCGATAAGCATGTAGTAAAAGACGTTTTTACCATAAAAACTTCATTATTCAGTCTTGTGGACACTGCATTTTTGCTGCAGACAAGCAGAGGTGTATGTTATTTTCCAATGACCCTTGTACATCCTCACGTTGATGTGAAGACAATCAGTATGTTATTCATAGTTGCCATAGCGTTTCAGTACCCAGCATGGCTTTAAGCCTACTTGCAGTGGGTGAATGTAGTTTGTGTTCCCAGACAGACAAAGCTGAAGAACAAGGGCAGATATGCAGGGTGCCATGGCCAGAGTTAGGCTGTCCCACACACTGCTGCATGCTGCTTGCTATTGTTCACATGCCAAACTGGCCAAGTTGACATCAGAACCAACAGTATATACAGATTGATGAGCCATTTTGTAATTCTCAGTGCCCCCACCATCTTTGAATCCTTACAACTGCTACACCCCTCTACATTATTTGCAGCCTGGTTTGCTATTGGTTATAAGTACTTGCCTGACATAACATCAAGTGTATGTAACATTGTGGTACTAGTGTGTTTGCTGAGTGTATGTAACATTGTGGTACTAGTATGTTTGCTGAGTGTATGTAACATTGTGGTACTAGTATGTTTGCTGAGTGTATGTAACATTGTGGTACTAGTATGTTTGCTGAGTGTATGTAACATTGTGGTACTAGTATGTTTGCTGAGTGTATGTAACATTGTGGTACTAGTATGTTTGCTGAGTGTATGTAACATTGTGGTACTAGTATGTTTGCTGAGTGTATGTAACATTGTGGTACTAGTATGTTTGCTGAGTGTATGTAACATTGTGGTACTAGTATGTTTGCTGAGTGTATGTAACATTGTGGTACTAGTATGTTTGCTGAGTGTATGTAACATTGTGGTACTAGTATGTTTGCTGAGTGTATGTAACATTGTGGTACTAGTATGTTTGCTGAGTGTATGTAACATTGTGGTACTAGTATGTTTGCTGAGTGTATGTAACATTGTGGTACTAGTATGTTTGCTGAGTGTATGTAACATTGTGGTACTAGTATGTTTGCTGAGTGTATGTAACATTGTGGTACTAGTATGTTTGCTGAGTGTATGTAACATTGTGGTACTAGTATGTTTCCTGAGTGTATGTAACATTGTGGTACTAGTATGTTTGCTGAGTGTATGTAACATTGTGGTACTAGTATGTTTGCTGAGTGTATGTAACATTGTGGTACTAGTATGTTTGCTGAGTGTATGTAACACTGTGGTACTAGTATGTTTGCTGAGTGTATGTTTGTGTAGGCACAGATTGTCAGGAACTGAACAAGGTCTGGGTATGTCTTACACCATCAGTGGAGATTGTTATTAGATATTTTTGTGAAATATTCCACCAAATGCCAAAACAGCTTGTATGAAAGTATTGTTGTGTTATGTGATTGGGAAGGTCATGAAGGTTGCTGGCAGTAGAGGGCTGTGACGGGGATGTAGGGTGCTCGCAGTAGAGGGCTGTGACAGGCGTGTAGGGTGCTGGCAGTAGAGGGCTGTGACGGGAATGTAGGGTGCTGACAGTAGAGGGCTGTAACGGGGATGTAGGGTGCTGACAGTAGAGGGTTGTAACGGGGATGTAGGGTGCTGACAGTAGAGGGCTGTGACAGGGATGTAGGGTGCTGGCAGTAGAGGGCTGTGACAGGGATGTAGGGTGCTGACAGTAGAGGGCTGTGACAGGGATGTAGGGTGCTGGCAGTAGAGGGCTGTAACGGGGATGTAGGGTGCTGACAGTAGAGGGCTGTGACAGGGATGTAGGGTGCTGACAGTAGAGGGCTGTGACGGGGATGTAGGGTGCTGGCAGTAGAGGACTGTGACAGGGATGTAGGGTGCTGGCAGTAGAGGGCTGTGACAGGGATGTAGGGTGCTGGCAGTAGAGGGCTGTAACGGGGATGTAGGGTGCTGGCAGTAGAGGGCTGTGACAGGGATGTAGGGTGCTGGCAGTAGAGGGCTGTAACGGGGATGTAGGGTGCTGGCAGTAGAGGGCTGTGACAGGGATGTAGGGTGCTGGCAGTAGAGGACTGTGACAGGGATGTAGGGTGCTGACAGTAGAGGGCTGTGACGGGGATGTAGGGTGCTGGCAGTAGAGGGCTGTGACAGGGATGTAGGGTGCTGACAGTAGAGGGCTGTGACAGGGATGTAGGGTGCTGGCAGTAGAGGGCTGTGACGGGGATGTAGGGTGCTGGCAGTAGAGGGCTGTGACGGGGATGTAGGGTGCTGGCAGTAGAGGGCTGTGACAGGGATGTAGGGTGCTGACAGTAGAGGGCTGTGACGGGGATGTAGGGTGCCGACAGTAGAGGGCTGTAATAGGGATGTAGGGTGCTGGCAGTAGAGGGCTGTGACGGGGATGTAGGGTGCTGGCAGTAGAGGGCTGTGACGGGGATGTAGGTTGCTGACAGTAGAGGGCTGTGACGGGGATGTAGGGTGCTGACAGTAGAGGGCTGTGATGGGAATGTAGGGTGCTGGCAGTAGAGGGCTGTGACGGGAATGTAGGGTGCTGGCAGTAGAGGGCTGTGACGGGGATGTAGGGTGCTGACAGTAGAGGGTTGTAACGGGGATGTAGGGTGCTGACAGTAGAGGGCTGTGACAGGCGTGTAGGGTGCTGACAGTAGAGGGCTGTGACAGGCGTGTAGAGTGCTGACAGTAGAGGGCTGTGACAGGCGTGTAGAGTGCTGACAGTAGAGGGCTGTGACAGGCGTGTAGAGTGCTGACAGTAGAGGGCTGTGACAGGCGTGTAGAGTGCTGACAGTAGAGGGCTGTGACAGGCGTGTAGAGTGCTGACAGTAGAGGGCTGTGACAGGCGTGTAGAGTGCTGACAGTAGAGGGCTGTGATGGGGATGTAGGGTGCTGGCAGTAGAGGGCTGTGACAGGGATGTAGGGTGCTGGCAGTAGAGGGCTGTAACGGGAATGTAGGGTGCTGGCAGTAGAGGGCTGTAACGGGGATGTAGGGTGCTGGCAGTAGAGGGCTGTAATAGGGATGTTGGGTGCTGGCAGTAGAGGGCTGTAACAGGGGATGTAGGGATGTAGGCATGTTGGGATGACGTTTCTGCACATAGACATCAATCACCCTGTGAATTAAAACATGTAGTATGAGGAACAACAGTCACGTTTCTGCTGGTTTCCACAGCATGACTGCAGTTGAAGGTATATGCCACTTCATGGTGCCATGTAGCCATTATAACCAGTAACACCTCAAAGCAGTTTTCCTAAATGACCAAACCTGATCCCGACAAGGTGCCCCATGGTAGCCGGTAGAGCTGTCACATGTTTGTAAATGACAGTACCCACAGTAATATTACCAACAGCTCTAGGCCTCCCATATATACTGTACCAAGACCGCAGATAGTGCTACAAACCCATGGCAATAGTTTGATGGGCCACCATTATAAATATCTGTTATGGGCAGTGCAACCCATTTATATGAAAGGGTGGTTAGTTAGGTGGAGAATTTTATGTTTTTCATCCAAACCATCAAATGATTGTGGTCGGACAGACACATGCTATTATAATAACATATATTATAACTGTCCAAAATCTTCTTCATTGGGGCTGTTTTGCAGGGTGGAGCAGATTGTCCTAAAGCTTTTGTCATTGTGGCCAGGAGTGGTGTATTTTAGGACAACACACCATGAGAAGGCATGTCATTGAAACAGCAATAGCTGAACATGTCTGAATTGGATTTCTTGGTGCAGTGACATAGTTTTAATATGTATGCTCCTGTCAGTATCAATGACTATTTTCTGACAAACATTGATCAAACTGTTAAGGTCCACAATAAGTGGATGTTTTAAAATCACTCTTATTCCTGTGGCAACGTTGCTTCAAATTCCAATATGGTTGCTTCTTGTGTTGATATTGTAATAACTGATTCAGATGTTATGTAAAAGTCTATTCTAAGGAGAGATTACTATGGCCTAAATCTTTGTGAGGCAGCCTGTGTTTGGCAACATACGGGAGGACCTCAGTATTGATAACCTTCATTACTGGAAAATCTTATATCCGTAGATTCGACAGAACAAACCACTTGTTTGTGTTGGCTTATTTGATGGAACTGGTGAAGCCCTTTATGTTAGATATAATTCCTGAGGAAGGCCTTTATGTTAGATGTAATTCCTGAGGAAGGCCTTTATGTTAGATATAATTCCTGAGGAAGGCCTTTATGTTAGATGTAATTCCTGGTGAAGGCCTTTATGTAAGATATAATTCCTGGTGAAGGCCTTTATGTTAGATATAATTCCTGGTGAAGGCCTTTATGTTAGATGTAATTCCTGGTGAAGGCCTTTATGTAAGATGTAATTCCTGGTGAAGGCCTTTATGTAAGGCGTAATTCCCGGTGAAGGACTTTATGTTAGGTTAATTCCCGGTAAAGGCCTTTATGTTAGATGTAATACCTGGTGAAGGCCTTTATGTTAGATGTAATTCCTGGTGAAGGCCTTTATGTTAGATATAATTCCTGGTGAAGGCCTTTATGTTAGATGTAATTCCTGGTGAAGGCCTTTATGTAAGATGTAATTCCTGGTGAAGGCCTTTATGTAAGATGTAATTCCTGGTGAAGGCCTTTATGTAAGGCGTAATTCCCGGTGAAGGACTTTATGTTAGGCGTAATTCCCGGTAAAGGCCTTTATGTTAGGTGTCATTCCCGGTGAAGGTCTTTATGTCAGGTGTCATTCCTGGTGAAGGCCTTTATGTTAGATGTAATACCCGGTGAAGGCCTTTATGTTAGGCGTAATTCCTGGTGAAGGCCTTTATGTTAGGCGTAATTCCCGGTAAAGGCCTTTATGTTAGATGTAATACCCGGTGAAGGCCTTTATGTTAGGCGTAATTCCCGGTAAAGGCCTTTATGTCAGATGTAATACCCGGTGAAGGCCTTTATGTTAGGCATAATTCCTTGTGAAGGTCTTTATGTTAGGTGTAATTCCTGGTGAAGGCCTTTATGTCAGGTGTCATTCCTGGTGAAGGCCTTTGTGTCAGGTGTCATTCCTGGTGAAGACCTTTATGTCAGGTGTCATTCCTGGTGAAGGCCTTTATGTCAGGTGTCATTCCTGGTGAAGGCCTTTATGTCAGGTGTCATTCCTGGTGAAGGCCTTTTTATGTCAGATGTAACTCCCAGTATAGGCCTTTATGTCAGGTGTAATTCCTGGTGAAGGCCTTTATGTTAGGTGTCATTTCTGGTGAAGGCCTTTATATCAGGTGTAATTCCTGGTGATGGCCTTTATGTCAGATGAAATTCCCGGTGAAGGCCCTTATGTTAGATGTTATTCCTGGTGAAGGCCTTTATGTGAGATGTAATTCGTGGTGTTAGATGTAATCCTGACGAAGGTAGAGATGTTAGATGTAATTCTTTGTGAATGCCGTGATGTTAGTGAGGAAACAAATCTTCCTTCAGTTTGTTCTTCCATGTCCAGCTGTGAAGTGTGATGGTCAAGTGTGATGTTAACTGACCACGAGTTACCAGCATTAACTGTAGCCCCTAGAGGCTTCTAGTACATAGGTATGTGATATACACTTCTAGTACAAAGATATGTGATATACACTTCTAGTCCATAGATATGTGATATACACTTCTAGTCCATAGATATGTGATATACACGGAGCTTAGAGATGGTTTTTGTTTCAAGCCTGTATTTTTATAGATATACTCTAGATTCTGCAATAAAGCTTGCTGCATTTGTCAGTCGGTGTTTTGTTGTTAGGCATATCAGTGACGCAAACAGGACACTTGATACACTGGCTGAAACCAGTTGTTGCACAAACAGGACACTGGATATACGGGCTAAAACCAATTGTTACACAACAAGGACACTGGACACTCTGGCTGACACCAGTTGTTCCACAAACAGGATACTTGATACACTGGCTGACACCAGATGTTGCACAAACAGGACACTTGGTATACTGGCTGACACCAGATGTTGCACAAACAGGACACTTGATACACTGGCTGACACCAGTTGTTGCACAAACAGGATACTTGATACACTGGCTGACACCAGATGTTGCACAAACAGGACACTTGATACACTGGCTGACACCAGATGTTGCACAAACAGGACACTTGGTATACTGGCTGACACCAGATGTTGCACAAACAGGATACTTGATACACTGGCTGACACCAGATGTTGCACAAACAGGACACTTGATATACTGGCTGACACCAGATGTTGCACAAACAGGACACTTGATACACTGGCTGACACCAGATGTTGCACAAACAGGACACTTGATACACTGGCTGACACCAGATGTTGCACAAACAGGACACTTAGTATACTGGCTGACACCAGTTGTTGCACAAACAGGACACTTGATACACTGGCTGACACCAGATGTTGCACAAACAGGACACTTGATACACTGGCTGAAACCAGTTGTTGCACAAACAGGACACTTGATACACTGGCTGACACCAGATGTTGCACAAACAGGACACTTGATACACTGGCTGAAACCAGTTGTTGCACAAACAGGACACTTGATACACTGGCTGACACCAGATGTTGCACAAACAGGATACTTGATATACTGGCTGACACCAGATGTTGCACAAACAGGACACTTGAAACACTGGCCGAAACCAGATGTTGCAGGACACTGGATACAAACTCTGAAACCAGTTCCTACACAATCGGGGCACTAAGTCTTGGTACACTGTCTGAAACCAGGTGTTGCACAACAGGACACTTGATAGGTTTTTATATATGATATTCGAGAATTGTTAAATTGGTTTCACGTTGCGTTCAAGATTATTGCACATATATGGCGGCATGCACGCACGTGTGTGTTGGTGGGGTGTGTGGCTGCTTGTTCTAGTCCGGACTAATGCTGATTTTATGTAGCTAGCCCACTGAGATACCATCCCGCAGTTTAACATGATTACCAAGTCGAGTCAAGTCAAAGTTTAGTTATGGGTCTCAGGCCAGATACAAATGGTAACACAGTATAGATCCCAGCGCGGCTCAACATTTCAGCTGCAACAAGACTGGAGACTTGCCCCCGCACCAATCTCGACCCACCCACCCACCCACCCTACTAGATGTCAAAGTATATACATAATTACAAATAGTTTCAAATCTTGATCACAATGCATTCTTTCTTTCATTTATAATGTGGTACACACACTGTCAATCGAAAACTGTCATTTCTGAGACAGTCTTGCATTAAATGGACAAATTTAAAAAACACTATGGTGTACATGAGTAATTTGTCAAATACAGCCGTGCTAACCCCATATATTTTGGACACATCATTAAAACATGGTATCCGTCCTTTATGTGAGTTTCACAAACTGAACACGCTGTTCCGGGTGTGACTTTGGTCCAACCCATCTCCCCTTAAACCATGAACATATGGGAACTGAACCTACAACGTGCTAGAGCTACTCGGTATTTTACAATATCAATGTTATTAAGATACATTTCAAAACATTAGGAATCCTTCATTGACAGGTACAGTCTGGTTTCGCTAATACTTGACAATTGGTTTTTCAACATCTTGCATAAATTCGCTGCTTAATTTCAGACAAAAATCCAGTTTCATTTACTATAACTTGACCCAGCGAAACATGGCTGTTTGGTGTAATATATTTCTAACCGAAACGTCCCAACTTTCTACATTAGAATGACTTCACATCATTTCTAAAAGAGCTTTATACACAATATCAATATGTCTATTATGATCACACGTTAAGATGTTCACCCAATATTTAATAATTCCAACAAACCGCACACTTATCAATGTTAGTACTCCCAATTCACCATAAACATATGCCGATGGTGTAGATAATTTAACACCTAATATCTTTTTAATAAATCTAAGATGTACTCTTTCAATTGCATTAACCTCCCCAAAACACCACACCTCACATCCATAACACAATATGGGTTAAATTAAGGGTTGAAATAACTACTACTCAACACACTATGCCATTTAGAAAGTGGTCAAATGTAACAAACGTTGTATTTGAGATAACACTTTCTTAGTAAAAGACAACTTCTCGTATTTTTGGGGTCGAGTCACGTCCGGGAAGCGAACCCACACTGCCAGACCGAGGCACCTAACCGCCAACACTCAAAGTCAGGGATTTAACCCACTCAGCCACCGAGGCTTCCACGAAAATGAAAGTCAGACAACTGGTATACCTTTGTGTACCCCTCTGACAAGTGTAAATTGGCACGGCTCCCATGGCCGAAAGCTATGAACACAATGCCATTTAGAAATTGGGTAAATGTAACAATTGTCAAGTGTACGAGAATCTGTACTTTAGTAAGACTGGCTTAGCGTTATCCCAACTATAACATTTGTTACTAGTACTGGGTATCAACAAAAATGACCCGTGAAGATCCGGGGTAGAATAGGTCTTCAGCAACCCATGCTTGCCGTAAAAGGTGACTATTGTCGTAAGAGGCGACTAACGGGATCGCGTGGTTAGGCTCGCTAACTTGGTTGATGCATGTCATCGATCCCAATTGCGTGGATCGATGCTCATGATATCAATCACTGGATTGTGTGGTCCAGACAGATTATTTTCAAACCGCCGTCATATAGCTGGAATATTGCGGAGTGCGGCGTTAAACAACAAACCAACAAACCAAACCAACCATCAAATATACTATTACTAGAATAAAGATAAAGTGTTTTGACATTCTGACCATAGTCGGTTAACGCCGTTGCCTCGGGAAGATGGAGCTATACACCTCTAATACTGGACTGTGTGTGAGAGACATAGCGTGGACATGCGGCACACCGGTCACGCGTCGAGCAGCAACACGTCATGGTATAATCACAACCAACTTGTATTTCATATAAAATGTTTATTACATAAATATCATGATGTATGGACTCACCTAATGAACAGATTCTGAGTATACATTTACGCTGCATAGAAGGAGAGGGAAGGGGTAGGAGAGTTGGGGGTGGGGTCGGGAGAAGAGAGGGGTGGGGACTAATGTTCCCTCCCCAGCTGCCTCACACGCACCTAACAGGACACTACCTATTAAACAATTAAATCTTCATGCAATGGAACATGGGAAGGCGGTGTGTTCTGTCGGATGTGCAAACTTCTACTATGACTTTCATTTCCTATTTTTATTTTCACTCTTTGATGTGTTTAAATTTGATTTGTAAGATTATATCGATTCAGGGTATAGCTAGATGCACATCAGTTGTCTCTGAGACTAAAGTGGCAGTCTATACAAGACACAATGGAGTCGTCATTCAGCCCTGGGGAGCCGGAGGTCCACCAGCCAAGGGAGTTAGAGGTCAGGACGAGATACCGTTAGCATACTTTGAAAATCTGAAATCGAGGCATTATAGGGGCTGGAACAACGGATATGGAGTATTTCGTGGCAATCACTAGGTCTGGAAGCGCTTTCTCACATGTCAGGGTCATATATACTTGTAACAACAGAGCGGCTCTTCTGTCCAGGGTTAAACATAAGTACCATGGACGGAGGTGGCGAAAGAGACCGATTACAACATCCACAAGGTTCAAATTGAAAGAAGAAAACATATTTTATTTTGCAATCGATAATAGTATCCAAAATGTCTCTAAAGTCATGTTTTGTGTAGAGTAGACTGCAGTCAAGCATCTCACTCTCATACGTATGTTAATGAAGGTTGTGCACGCAAGATCCCGCTGGACGTCCTCATGTCATGTATCGACCACCAATGTTGGCCTGGTATCCCCGTATCCTCGGGTTCTACCACAGGTACCCGGTGACAGAGTGGTTGGAGCGGTTCCCGACACCATCACAGAACTAGGGGCATCAGGCAAGCCAGAGTACATAGCCATCCGACTTGACCATACATCTAGTGACATCACCAGTAACAACCACATTCAGCTCAACGTGCACTTCTTTCCTCGAGAATGTTTAGCTGACGCAATTTGATGACAAGTAACAGTTCCACGTCTACACGCCTACCACTAACTCTGACGTCAGTGTTGCACATCGTTATATTGCACGTCGCCGGTACACAGTACAACCACAGGCAATCGACGAGCACGTGATTATACGGTGACGTCGCACTTACTTTCGGCGTTCATAACTTTCCTCGTTACGGCACACTTCCTCTTCGCCGCTAACGTCACAAAATACCATGTATGTCAGTTCCCCGAGTGACAACAGTTCCATGGCGAGTTACCCCCATGTCTCAAAACCGTGTGCTATCTGGTGGCAATGTGTCCAAGGCAGTGAGCATGCGCGAATCTCGCCAAGAGTCGCTGATTGGCTTTAGGAGCATGACTTTTCCCGAGCATGCGCGGAGTATCTCGTCGTTATCTATCTCTGTGCCGTCCTCCTCCAGCACCACCTGGACCTTGCCCCGTATCCCCAGCTTGTCACGGCCTGTGGGGGGAGACAACAGCAGGGTTGGGAACACAGACAATACAGAACTAAGTAATAATCTGTAAACAACAGGTGGGGTTACAGGTGACGCCCTATCCAGTGGACAGCGGAGACGCATTCGTCACCACTCGCCCCTTTTCGTAACCTGCAAGAAGACTCGTCCCCCTATCGCATTCGTGATCAACTCGTATTATTCCGGGACAAGCCGAATAGCGATTCGCGCCCTTCTCAAGGCCATTTTTGCGACCGGATTCCCTCCTAGCGCAAACGGGCATACCTAAAACAATTGTCAACTCGTCTGCGTAATGGTTCACATATATTTCCCCATATATTATATATATTTCAGATGCAATTTAAAGCACAGCTGGACATGCGGAACTATACAGTATGATTGAACACATTTAACTGTGTCTTGGGTATACTTTTAGATGCAGTACACATGTGAAATCAAAGAAAAAATTTCTGAGGGATTCTTTGACGAAGAACTTCAAATCATACGCGTATTCTGATTTGTTTGTCGTATGTTTGCACATAACATTCATCGATAGGGGGACGAGTGTTCTTGCAGGTTACGGAAGGGGCGAGTGGTGACGAATGCCCCTATCGATGAATGTTATATTATGTGCGAACATACGACAAACCAATCGCAATGCCTGTATGGCTTCAAGTACTTGGTCAAGGAATCCCTCGGAAATACTTTTTGAATTTTCATGTCTTGCATCTAAAACTTGACCCAAGATAACAGTTAAATGGGTTCAATCATACTGTATGATACCGTAAGTCCCGATGTGTTTTCAATAGCATCTGGGATATATGTGATACCCGTTTGCACATACACAGTCGCAAAAATGGCCACGATAGGGGCACGAATCGCTATTCGGCTTGTCCCGGAATAACACGAGTTAGTCACGAATGAAAGGAGGCAGTCAAACGATACGCTACAAGCGGAATACTCTAAAGATTTCATCCTCGATAATCCAGAACACTGTTTCGCCATTCTGTTATGATATGTACTCTGAAACCATTCAACATCGCTCACACAAGTTTGTTCATGAACTGCATTCGGTGACAGGGTATCCACAGTGGAAGGGAAGTACAGGATTATAACTGTACATATTATATATTTTCACACATATACACACGAAATGTCAAATCACAAAATGGCACCCCTTCCCATAAAGCCGTATTCGCGCTTGTGTCACTGTTTGTATGTGTTCTGTGACAAAGTTACACTTTGCCATACAACTCCCAATGTGTGTTATGCATGATTTCCACGTGTACTTCATGATTACCGTGCGCCAGGTAAAACACGTCATCTTTCTCGCGTGGTCGCTGTCAATGTATGAGAGTGAGTGAGTAAGTTGGGTTTAACGCCGCTTTTAACAGTATTCCAGTTATATCGCGGCGTGTCAGCTTAATGTGTGAGGAAAGCCCGTATTGATGCAGGTCTCAGAAGTTTACCACTTCGGTGAAACCCACGAGCACGGGTATGGTGCTGATAAACCTAGAGCCATAATCGGGGCGAATCGGGATTCAACCCCACAATCATAGGTTTCTGGCGTGCCTACGGGACGCAACTCTGCACAGCGAATAGACGACTGGGCCACCCGTGCCCCCTCCAATGTTTGAGAACCTCTGCTGTCCTAGACCATGTAACAGTAGCGTTCTTCACATGTGGTAAATGTTCCGGCAGTTGATGACTGGTTGTTTGTTATACATTGTGCATTGTTGCAGATTTCAATAGCTGCCAGAATATATAGATTGTCGCCGCTGAGTGAACCTGTAGCAGGGTGCGAGAAGACTCACCATTGTCTCCTTGCTAACGTCGGAAGATTTATTTAGTTAAATTACATCGAAACTCACTTAAACACGTCAAGCGAAAATCGAATTTGATAATAGGCACCATGTCGTCATGAAGGAGACACAGTGGATTCCTGACGTTACCTCGATCTACTAACTCCTCAAGGTCATCAGCAAATGCAAATGTCTTCCTGCTGCGGTCGTTTGTCCAGACTTTATAAAGTCTCCTGAAATACAAATATATTCGGTTACTGCGCGAACGGTAGAAACATGTATTTCAATTGACTCCTTAGGATAGGAAATAGTCCAAAATAGTGTTGCCCTGTGCCTCATCACAAACACAGGCAACATGGCGGTCACACAACACAGGGAGCCTGACAGTCACAACACAAGGAGGCTGACAGTCACACAACACAGGGAGCCTGACAGTCACACAACACAGGGAACCTGACAGTCACACAACAGAGGGAGCCTGACAGTCACTCAACACAGGGAGTCTGACAGTCACACAACACAGGGAGCCTGACAGTCACACAACACAGGGAACCTGACAGTCACACAACACAGGGAGCCTGACAGTCACACAACACAGGGAGTCTGACAGTCACAAAACACAGGGAGCCTGACAGTCACAACACAAGGAGCCTTACAGTCACACAACACAGGGAGCCTGACAGTCACAACACAAGGAGGCTGACAGTCACACAACACAAGGAGCCTGACAGTCACACAACACAGGGAACCTGACAGTCACACAACACAGGGAGGCTGACAGTCACTCAACACAGGGAGTCTGACAGTCACACAACAGAGGGAGCCTTACAGTTACAACACAGGGAGCCTTACAGTCACTCAACACAGGGAGGCTGACAGTCACACAACACAGGGAGGCTGACAGTCACTCAACACAGGGAGCCTTACAGTCACACAACACAAGGAGGCTTACAGTCACAACACAGGGAGCCTTACAGTCACTCAACACAGGGAGGCTGACAATCACACAACACAGGGAGGCTGACAGTCACACAACACAGGGAGCCTTACAGTCACACAAAACAGGGAGCCTTACAGTTACAACACAGGGAGCCTTACAGTCACTCAACACAGGGAGGCTGACAGTCACACAACACAGGGAGGCTGACAGTCACTCAACACAGGGAGCCTTACAGTCACACAACACAAGGAGGCTTACAGTCACAACACAGGGAGCCTTACAGTCACTCAACACAGGGAGGCTGACAGTCACACAACACAGGGAGGCTGACAGTCACACAACACAGGGAGGCTGACAGTCACACAACACAGGGAGCCTGACAGTCACAACACAGGGAGCCTGACAGTCACACAACACAGGGAGGCTGACAGTCACACAACACAGGGAGCCTTACAGTCACTCAACACAGGGAGCCTTACAGTCACACAACACAGGGAGGCTGACAGTCACACAACACAGGGAGCCTTACAGTCACAACACAGGGAGCCTTACAGTCACACAACACAGGGAGGCTGACAGTCACACAACACAGGGAGCCTGACAGTCACACAACACAGGGAGGCTGACAGTCACACAACACAGGAAGCCTGACAGTCACACAACACAGTAAGGCTGACAGTCACAAAACACAGGGAGGCTGACAGTCACACAGCATAGGTAACCTGACAGTCACACAACACAGGAAGGCTGACAGTCAAACAAGACAGGGAGCCTGACAGTCACACAACACAGGGAGCCTTACAGTCACAACACAGGGGACTCGACAGTCACACAACACAAGGGAGCCTGACAGTCACACAACACAGGGAGCCTGATAGTCACACAACACAGGGAGCCTTACAGTTACAACACAGGGAGCCTTACAGTCACTCAACACAGGGAGGCTGACAGTCACACAACACAGGGAGGCTGACAGTCACTCAACACAGGGAGCCTTACAGTCACACAACACAAGGAGGCTTACAGTCACAACACAGGGAGCCTTACAGTCACTCAACACAGGGAGGCTGACAGTCACACAACACAGGGAGGCTGACAGTCACACAACACAGGGAGGCTGACAGTCACACAACACAGGGAGCCTGACAGTCACAACACAGGGAGCCTGACAGTCACACAACACAGGGAGGCTGACAGTCACACAACACAGGGAGCCTTACAGTCACTCAACACAGGGAGCCTTACAGTCACACAACACAGGGAGGCTGACAGTCACACAACACAGGGAGCCTTACAGTCACAACACAGGGAGCCTTACAGTCACACAACACAGGGAGGCTGACAGTCACACAACACAGGGAGCCTGACAGTCACACAACACAGGGAGGCTGACAGTCACACAACACAGGAAGCCTGACAGTCACACAACACAGTAAGGCTGACAGTCACAAAACACAGGGAGGCTGACAGTCACACAGCATAGGTAACCTGACAGTCACACAACACAGGAAGGCTGACAGTCAAACAAGACAGGGAGCCTGACAGTCACACAACACAGGGAGCCTTACAGTCACAACACAGGGGACTCGACAGTCACACAACACAAGGGAGCCTGACAGTCACACAACACAGGGAGCCTGATAGTCACACAACACAGGGAGCCTGACAGTCGCACAACACAGGGAGCCTGACAGTCACACAACAGAGGGAGCCTGACAGTCACAAAACACAGGAAGCCTTACAGTCACTCAACACAGGCAGCCTTACAGTCAAACAAGACAGGGAGCCTGACAGTCACACAACACAGGGAGGCTGACAGTCACACAACACAGGGAGCCTTACAGTCACACAACACAGGGAGGCTGACAGTCACACAACAGAGGGAGCCTGACAGTCACACAACACAAGGAGCCTTACAGTCACAACACAGGGAGCCTTACAGTCACACAACACAGGGAGGCTGACAGTCACACAACAGAGGGAGGCTGACAGTCACTCAACACAATGAGGCTGACAGTCACACAACACAGGGAGGCTGACAGTCACACAACACAGGGAGGCTGACAGTCACACAACACAGGGAGCCTGACAGTCACACAACACAGGGAGGCTGACAGTCACACAACACAAGGAGCCTTACAGTCACAACACAGGGAGCCTGACAGTCACACAACACAGGGAGGCTGACAGTCACACAACACAGGGAGGCTGACAGTCACACAGCACAGGGAGCCTGACAGTCACTCAACACAGGGGGCCTTACAGTCACTCAACACAGGAAGCCTGACAGTCACACAACACAGGGAGGCTGACAGTCACACAACACAGGGAGGCTGACAGTCACACAACACAGGGAGGCTGACAGTCACACAACACAGGGAGCCTGACAGTCACACAACACAGGGAGGCTGACAGTCACACAACAGGGGGAGCCTGAGAGTCACACAACACAGGGGACCTGACAGTCACTCAACACAGGAAGCCTGACAGTCACACAACAGGGGGAGCCTGACAGTCACACAGCACAGGGAGCCTGACAGTCACTCAACACAGGGGGCCTTACAGTCACTCAACACAGGAAGCCTGACAGTCACACAACACAGGGAGGCTGACAGTCACACAACACAGGGAGGCTGACAGTCACACAACACAGGGAGGCTGACAGTCACTCAACACAGGGAGGCTGACAGTCACACAACACAGGGAGCCTGACAGTCACACAACACAGGGAGCCTGACAGTCACACAACACAGGGAGGCTGATAGTCACACAACACAGGGAGGCTGACAGTCACAAAACACAGGGAGCCTGACAGTCACACAACACAGGGGACCTGACAGTCTCAACACAGGGAGGCTGACAGTCACACAACACAGGGAGCCTGACAGTCACACAACACAGGGAGGCTGACAGTCACACAACACAGGGAGGCTGACAGTCACACAACACAGGGAGGCTGACAGTCACACAACACATGGAGTCTGACAGTCACACAACACAGGGAGGCTGACAGTCACAAAACACTGGGAGCCTGACAGTCACACAACACAGGGAGTCTGACAGTCACACAACACAGGGAGGCTGACAGTCACACAACACAGGGAGGCTGACAGTCACACAACACAGGAACTCTGACAGTCACAACAGGGAGGCTGACAGTCAAAAAACACAGGGAGCCTGACAGTCACACAACACAGGGAGGCTGACAGTCACACAACACAGGGAGGCTGACTGTCACAGAGCATTGCTTTCGGAGAAGCAGGAGAAAAGACTGCAATTATTGCCAATTTCTAAACGTTGAGATCTCACTAGTTATATCTCTACTTCAATCAATATCGATTTCAAACAATTTCCTCCAAACTGTCATTGTGCAATATCACAGCTATTTTCACGGCGACCTGTCAATAAGCGCATCTGGGGAACAAGCCCAAATGTTTGTCTGCATGTTATTTTGTGTGTTTCTCAGTCACTGGTAAACATCAGAGAAAGGCCATGTTGACAGGCGGAAGAAAGAAATATAAAGAATGAAAGAACTGCATGTTTGAAAATGTAACAAATACGTTTTCTTTTTCACAAGAAAGGTTCACAATATGAATCTTGTCCCTAAACAGTTTCCAAAATTGAGAAAAATGCAATATTCAAAGTACAAATGTTGCTGTGCCGGTGTGGAGAGTGTTAAAGGCGCATAGGGAAACAACTAAAGCGACCAGAAGAATTACTTCCCTCCTGTGAATCTCACACAGTCAGACAGATGGCACATTGTAACCACCCTCTCCTCACACAGTCAGACAGGTGACACATTGTAACCATCCTCTCCTCACACAGTCAGACAGGTGACACATTGTAACCACCCCTTTCTCACACAGTCAGACAGGTGACACATTGTAACCATCCTCTCCTCACACAGTCAGACAGGTGACACATTGTAACCACCCCTTTCTCACACAGTCAGTCAGGTGGCACATTGTAACCATCCCCTCCTCACACAGTCAGACAGGTGACACATTGTAACCATCCCCTCCTCACACAGTCAGACAGGTGACACATTGTAACCATCCCCTCCTCACACAGTCAGACAGGTGACACATTGTAACCATCCCCTCCTCACACAGTCAGACAGGTGACACATTGTAACCACCCCTTTCTCACACAGTCAGACAGGTGACACATTGTAACCATCCTCTCCTCACACAGTCAGACAGGTGACACATTGTAACCACCCCTTTCTCACACAGTCAGACAGGTGACACATTGTAACCATCCCCTCCTCACACAGTCAGACAGGTGGCACAT